AATGTTGCTTTTTGGCATTTATTATATCAACTATGTTTTATTCCAAAGAATTAATTCTTGACTCTGAAGAACATATGTCATCAATTAATAAACTGTGTTCTTATGTGCATGCTTGTCTAGTGCTCTAGGTTTCATTGTTCAGATAAATAAAATGTGGGCTCACCCTTCTTCCTGCACTCGATTTAGCAAAAGCTTAGTTAATGAAATTTGTTGTACCTCTTTTTGTTAAGCTTGATCTAGATCTAAAGAAATTAGTTTTTAGACTGATCACACATTGTCACATTGTCAGATCTTGATGTTGGACTAGTGAAGTGCAATATCCAAATAGGCGTAGTAATATCCAAATAGTTTTTATTTTTTAAATCCTTTTGCTAATTAGAGCCATATTGGTGTATTTAGAACATAATGTTATGTATTTTTTCGTCTTTTTGTTCACCGTATATCTTTTTGATAATCCCTTCGTAGACTTAATGTTGACTTTTAGCTATTTCACAAGTGGTCTGAGAAACATTCACCCTTGTGTAAGAATCAATTATTGGATTGAACGTGTGCTTATGATGGTCAATTGTTGACTTGGCATATTAATTACTTAATAGTGCATTATTTCAAAATTAATGTCCATGTTGATCTAGATCTGGCCTTTTGATTATTAACTTATAAGACAATTTAAGGTCCATGTTGCTCTTGTTAAATTATGCTGTGTATGCCACATTCGTTTGGTAACTTTTTTCATATATTTCTTGTACAGCTTGGGAGCCTTTGCTTGGACCAAACCAGTGGTACTGCCACATGGTATGTATTCTTTTCTCATATAATTTGTACCTCTTCAACCACAATTTTAAATCTCTTATTTTTTTACTTAATAGTGCATTATTTCAAAATTAAACAAAGCCTTAATGTTTGGTAACCATTGGTATGTTGGTCAGTAACTTGAAAAGAAAAAAATCATCCTTGTGGTCAACTATTTTAATTGTGATTTATTTTCTTTTCCTTTGTGGTGTGTTTTAATTATTTGTAGGGTGGGAATGACTCTAGGGGAGAGAGTGACAACATTGATTGGGATACTGAAGATGAACTAGAAATTCAGAATTTTCCTTTGTCTTCCTGTTCAAGTTTGACAAATCCTGGTGGAGAAGCTATTGTTATGTGCTGGAGAGGTAAATATTATAGGCTTATAGCGGAAGCTATAGTGATTTTTTTTTTTAGTTGTGGCATCAAAATTATTGGCGACTGGGGAATTGCTTTACACCTAGAGAAGGAAATTTTGTCTTTTTTAGTAATCCTACCAGTAACTGATTACTATTGTTGAATGTTATGAACCCATGTGGGACATCGTTGAAATGCTTGTGCATGTGGCCCATACTGTGTATGGGCTTGCCTAAAATTCTCATGGTAAAAACGTACTTCACTATAAACTGGTACTTGAATATTATCACACGGTGCTGGAGTGCCCAAACACTAGAATGAATTTTTCTTCTTAATTTTGAAGGGAGCTCAGCCTTAACAAGTGGCATGAATATAATATTTTGTTGAAACCTGTCTGTAAAATCTACTACCTTGTCATTCTTGCTGAATGTGCTTGAGACGATAATTTATTTTTTTTCAAAAATGGCTCGTAAGATGATGTTACTTTTTATATGTTCTATATTTCTCTCTGTTTTGCAACACCTCAAGAATTTATGTTCGACATTTGTTTTATCAAAATTCTGAGGCATCACATAATGCCTGCACCAGGTTTTGGAAGAGGTGAAATGAGGACATTGGTGAAGTTTTGGTGTTCCAGCTTCCTTTTCTAAGAATCAGCATTCTAATTCATAGTGGATGCCAAGGTGAGATACATTAACAAAGAAGCAGGAGCATATTAGGTAATTAAAAATCTATTGTACCTTTTTAACAAATTGAACCAGTATATTAGGTAATTCATCGTCTCCTCCCTCCTCTTTCCCCTTCTTTCCCCCCACAGAAAGCCATGTTCGATCCAAAAACTGAATGTGCAGAGGATTTACTTCTCATTTGATCTTTCAAGAGGATTTACTAATACTAGATTATTTGATATCATTTTTTTCCCCCCTTGAGTTTGGATGATTATGCTGCTGCTGATGATCAATATGAACAAAAACTGAAGAAAGAGACTTTGGTATTTTTCATGTTGGCAACGTAAGATAGATTTGCAAATTTTCTTATTTGGAAATGCATAACACTTTTTTAACAAATTGAACTGTTTTGAGGTGAGGCGCTTATTTAATCTACATTTGAGCTGGTTACTGTAGTTATGGAGATGAAGAGCCATGATAATGCTGCAAGATTCTACAAATGGTTTACTTGGGTAGTTTTGTCACTGTCGAACTAACTTTAGTAGTGCATTGTTTTTAGAAATTTGCGTGAAGATTCTACAAATGATGCTTATGCTTTGATTTGCTGTGTTTAGTAGTTAGCTAAATGAAATTATTTAGTGCTACATCAGTTGTTCAGTCGTTCGGGCAATCGTCCGGTGAACAGTTTCTGTGTTTGGTTTCGGTGTTCCATCCTCTGTGTGCGTAGCATCGCTCTATTATTATTGATAGCATTGTTACATACTTGAATGCATATAAACAAAATCTTTTGACTTGTTTCTCAATTGATTTTCAATTTGAGAAGTTTCATATTCTTAACAATTTATAGGAACCCAGGGCAGTGATTAAGTCAAGTGGCAGTGGATTTTCTTAAATCTATTTTTATTCTTTTTGGTTATGAGGAAAGCAAAAAGAAGGAAATGTGGTGGAAAACAGGGACACTCTGTCCTATTCATCTGTGCTGCCATGTTCAGTTGTTATGATATTGTTGTCTAGCTTTGTTTAGGAGATCTTCTGAGATTTAGATCAACCCTCTCCTACTGCATGCTGTTTTTGGCCATAGATTTGTCACTCTGCTTCATTTCTCTCTGCAAACAAATCTTGATTATTATTTCTCGCTGCTCATGTTCAGACAAGACGTTGCTTTTGGAAGTGAATCATCATTTTGTCGATGTCATAGGTTTTGTTGGTGAGCTGCATCCTGACAAGAACAGTGATAACAAGAAGCATGTGCTTTACACAGACATTATTGTTACATACAAGGATCAGGTCCTTTGCTTATGAGCCATTTGATTTTTTGGTTGAGAATTGTGAATTCAATTTTTGGATATGTTGTTTTGTGGATAATGTTAAAACATCATTTGTGGATATGTTATTTTGTCGGTAATGGTGATTGGATATTAATTGAATGAGAAAGTGAATTAATGATGCATTTACTATTTGAATGAGAGTTATTATTTCATATTAGTGTTATTCAGTTTTATTACAGGTATTTTTTTAGTTCAATAACATAAAATTAGCACAATTAAAAAAAAAAAGAAGGATATCACGACATTTCTTAGAACGCCACCTAAACTTTAAAGCTAACGGTCAGTTTAAAAAAAAAAGATATGACGGCGTTTTGAAAATGTCGTTAAAATCATAGTGACGTCATAGTATTGTTAGGGTGGGAAATTTGGCCGCGTTTTTAAAAACGCCGCCTATAGTAATATAACGGCGTTTTTAAAATGCCATAAAGTTATTGTGAGGGCCAAATTGTCGGTGTTTGGTATTAAACGTCACAAAAAGAATTAGAGGTGTTTTTTGCACTTTTAAAAACGTCACTAAAAGCTGAATTTCCTGCAGTGAATGCACCAATTTTCCCTTGATTTCTCTTCAATTTTGTGTAGATATCAATTTAGATGACTCAATATAAACATTAAAGGTTGAAATTGATATAACTGGAACTACAAAGAATAAATGGACACAATAAGCAAATTACAGAAGCTACCAGTGTAATTTAGCCTAATCTTTTGTATGTAATTCTTATTAAGAGAGTGATATGAATATAACAGTGATACTATTGAAAAATTACAAATCAATGTACCTTCACAAAATATTTACAATTTCATAGCAAAAATTAATTATTGAAGTTAACAAAATTTATCAGTGATTTAATTTTTTTTTTAAAGACATAAGATGTAATTTTTTCAAAATTAATCACACCTCAAACCCCATGTACACTAAAATAAAATTTAAAAAGGGAGGACATACTTACCTCTAGTATAAGTGAGAGGGGGAAGCTCTTTGATAGCAATGACATCCAATAGGGGTCCACAAGGAGGGTCCTCTTGAACTCCAGGGTTATGGAAAATGACTTTAACAGGTTTGTGATGAAAAATGACCTTGACTACGTCCCTGCCCTCTGTACACACCGCCCGTTGCTTCTACCAATTGAATGGTCTGGTAAAGTGTTCGGATCGTGGCAATGTGGGCTGTTCTCTTTCGGCGACGTCGTGAGAAGTCCACTAAACCTTATCATTTAAAGGAAGGAGAAGTCGTAATAAAGTTTCCGTAGGTGAACTTGCAGAAGGATCATTGTTGATGCCTCTACACAGCAGAACGACTCGTGAACTTGTCATTACCGCTGGGGAAACAAGAGGCGGGTCGTTGGCTCCCTTCTGCTGTCCCTCATCGAGAGTGTGCTCGGAGCCCCTCCAGGGGCGACGAGTGCCCTTCCTCGGCAAACCAACAAACCCTAGTGCGAATTGCGCCAAGAAACTTGAACAAAGAGAGTACGCTCGGTGTAACTCACAAAAAAACTAAACGACTCTCGGCAACGGATATCTCGGCTCTCGCATTGATGAAGAACGTAGCGAAATGCGATACTTGGTATGAATTGCAAAATCCCGTGAACCATCGAGTCTTTGAAAGCAAGTTGTGCCCGAAGACATTAGGTTGAAGGCACGTCTGCCTAGGCATTTCACATTACATCGCCCCTGTCCCCGAAGGGTTGCGAGCGGATGTTTGTCCCCTGCGGGCGGTCGGCCTAAAAACGAGTCCCTCGCGGCGAATGACGCGTCGCAACGAGTGGTGGTTGACAAACCGTTGGGTCGTGTCATGTGCGTCCCAGTTGTTGCAAGAGGTCTGTTGTGACCCTGTTGCGCTGTTGCTAAGGTGCTTCGATCG